GAACACCTTGTTCCTCCCATGAACTTCCTGATTTAAGTCATGTCTCTGCATTTCCTGTTTGCCAGATTATTATGCCTTCTCCAGCCAGTATCTCGCTTTGTCTCTCCTGCTGCCGTCCATGCTTTCACTACCGACCTTTGGTTTGTTCCTTGACTAAGATTCTTCCTCATCCCAACCTGCTACCACTTGTTACCGACCCTTGGCTTGTTTACTGACTACGCTTCTGCTAGATCCCTACCTGCCATATCAGTTACTGGATTCTGGCTTGCTCACTTCCTGGTGGGGTGATCCTGAGCACTGCGACCTGGTACTAACACGCAGCAAAATCCATCTCCACCATCAGGAGCTCTGCTGAATACAGGTTAGTGCTTAGACCCTACACCTCAGGTGAGCCTGCGTCATTTCCCAGAGTGACCTGCTTGTTTACCTATCCTGTTGGTTGGTCTGCTGCTATAGCTACTGGTCTCTGAACCTGACCTCACACCGTGACAATAAATATCTAAATAGTTGCACGCTTGAATAAAAATTGTCCATGTATAAGTGCTATCCCATATGGAAAAAGGGTGACACCAAGTCCATCTGGGAGGCTCCACATGATTATCTTTTCCCTCGTAAATCCAAAACTTACATGTATAGCCTGTTGCCCTCTCACAGGTCTTATAAACCTTGACCCAATATCTGGAACGCTTGCTGGGGAGAAATTGTTTGAATGCAAGGTGGCCATAAAAAACTAATGAGGAACTCATCAACACAGATGTTTTGCTGGGGAATATAGACATCTGCAAATTTCTGGTTAAGGTGATTTACGAGGGTCCGACCATTTTTGTGGTGCTGGTCAAATTCAGGGTCACCCCAAGGACAACAGAGTGTACTGTCTTTGAAATGCATAAATTACATTATATTCTCATATCTATGCCTAGCCATAGCAGCAGAGAACACGGGCATATGATGAATCAGGTCTGTGGACCAATAAAACTGCAATAAATTTTTTTAGTAATGCCCATGTTGAGCGTTAGGCCCAAAAAAACTTTGCATTTGGAAACCATAATAGATTTCCATGCAAAAGGTCTGGCAAGGTTTGAATTTGGGTTGGCGGCGATAAACTGTTGTGCATATAAATTGCTTTGATCCACAATCAATGCATACAGATCTTCTGTGAAAAACAGCTCCAAAAAAAGGGAGGTAGTTAAATTTTTTGTTTCCACCTGAATTGGGCAGTGAAAGGGGAAGTACAGGTGCTGCAGAATTTGTGGGCTGCCAATCAGGATTTGCAAGCACATCCAGAAGGACACTAAGGGCTCTATGGGCCTGTGTTTGAGTTCTTGGTGGCTGCGGGACACTGCTTGTGCTATCCACTGCACCAGGTTGAGCTGCACTTATAGGACTCGCTACATCAGCAAGTGATACTGCAGTGCTGGTATGTATAAGACCAGGATGTACTAGGCCGCTGGTGTTCGCCAGTTCACCAAAAGGTTGAGCGGAACTACAGTGGGGATCGAAAGTTTGGGCACCCCAGCTAAAAATTTGTATTAATGTGCATAAAGAAGCCAAGGAAAGATGGAAAAATCTCCAAAAGGCATCAAATTACAGATTAGACATTCTTATAATATGTCAACAAAAGTTAGATTTTATTTCCATCATTTACACTTTCAAAATAACAGAAAACAAAAAAATGGCGTCTGCAAAAGTTTGGGCACCCTGCAGAATTTATAGCATGCACTGCCCCCTTTGCCAAGCTGAGACCTGCCAGTGTCATGGATTGTTCTCAATCATCGTCTGGGAAGACCAGGTGATGTCAATCTCAAAGGTTTTAAATGCCCAGACTCATCTGACCATGCCCCAACAATCAGCACCATGGGTTCTTCTAAGCAGTTGTCTAGAAAACTGAAACTGAAAATAGTTGACGCTCACAAAGCTGGAGAAGGCTATAAGACGATAGCAAAGCGTTTTCAGATATCAATATCCTCTGTTCGGAATGTAATTAAGAAATGGCAGTCATCAGGAACAGTGGAAGTTAAAGCAAGATCTGGAAGACCAAGAAAAATATCAGACAGAACAGCTCGCAGGATTGTGAGAAAAACAATTCAAAACCCACATTTGACTGCACGATCCCTCCAGAAAGATCTGGCAGACACTGGAGTTGTGGTACACTATTCCACTATAAAGAGATACTTGTACAAATATGGTCTTCATGGAAGAGTCATCAGAAGAAAACCTCTTCTACGTCCTCACCGCAAAAATCATCGTTTGAACTTTGCAAATGAACATATAGACAAGCCTGATGCATTTTGGAAACAAGTTCTGTGGACCGATGAGGTTAAAATTGAACTTTTTGGCCGGAATGAGCAAAGGTACGTTTGGAGAAGAAAGGGCACAGAATTTAATGAAAAGAACCTCTGTCCAACTGTTAAGCATGGGGTTGGATCAATCATGCTTTGGGGTTGTGTTGCAGCCAGTGGTACAGGGAACATCTCACGAGTAGAAGGAAAAATGGATTCAATAAAATTTCAGCTAATTTTGGATGGTAACTTGATGCCATCTGTGAAAAAGCTGAAGTTAAAGAGAGGATGGCTTCTACAAATGGATAATGATCCTAAACACACCTCGAATTAACTAGTCAGCATATGCCCTATAAAAAGCACTACACTGCAACTTCACTGCACTATTTTTCTTGCTAGCAACAGCAAAATGTTATTTTTCAGAGACCAAAAAAAAATTAAAAGGACATAGTCACAGTCCCCAGGAATCTGCCAGTAGTTAGGCCAGTTGAGCATTTTTTTTAGGGAAGCAGTTGACTCTGGTGAGCAGAAAAACACACTTCCAGCTCTGCAACTGCCCAACCACCCTACTGTGAGACCAGGGGGGGATCATCAAGGGGGCCCATTAGATCCAGAAGCCAGAGTTATTGCTTCTCTATAGAGCAAAACAAGCCTGTTATGGAGACCTATGCTTGTCCTCCTACACCTCTTCAGTTATATATAAGAGGCTCCGGGAGGAAGTTACGAGTAGATTTAATGCAGTGGCAATATCCACACACCATAAAGCAGGTTAAGAAGAGTGCGTCAGATATTGTTTGTATGACAAGCTTGTGCTCTGTGACAAAGCCATTGGGTAGGGTCAACATGCATCCAAACATCTGGGACAACTCATGCAGTACCAACTAACAGTGTTGCCAATCCTCAAGTGGGAAACAGTTTCAGGTGTCAATTACCAGCATTTTACAAATGGTTGGCAAACCAGTAAGAAATACATGCACAAGAAAACATTTTACCGAGGGATTGTTATGCGTTCTCTCACTTGACATGATCTAATTGAATCTTATGCCTATTTCTGAAGATTATTAATGTTTTCAATTGTTTTACTTTTAAATATGTTTTGAAAATGTATTGTTCCTTTAACCTAGGCAACCAGCCAAAAGAGCACACTCCTGGGGATGTGTTACTGATGCATGTGTAGCTATGATGACACCATCCTTAATCTTAGCATTACAGAGGTTCAAAGCAAATCATAATTCAACTTGCAAACCGACCTCAGTGCACTCTTTAATTGGGCAACTATGTGGCAAATGAGTTTTAATGTTGATAAATGTAAGGATATGCACTTGGGGGCTAAGAACATGCATGCATCATACATAATAGAGGGGGGTAAAACTAGGGAATCGATAGTGGAGAAGGATCTGGGAGTTCTGGTAGATCACAAGCTTAATAATGGCATGCAATGCCAAGCTGCAAATTCTAAAGCAAGCAAAATCCTCTATTGTAATAAAAGAGGTATAGACTCCAGAGAGAGAGATATCATATTACCCCTGTACAAATCATTTGTAAGAGCTCATCTGGAGTATGCAGTTTAATTTTGGGCACCAATTCACAAAAAGAACATTGGGGAACTGGAGAAAGTACAGAGAAGGGCAACCAAACTGATAAGAGGCATGGAGGAACTCAGCTATGAGGGAAGATTAGAGGAACTGAATTTATTCTCTTGAGAAGAGGAGATTAAGGGGGGATATGATCAACATAAATACATCAGTGGTTCATATAGTGAACTCGGTGTAGAGTTATCACCCTGAGGTCATCACAGAGGGCAAGGGGGCACTTTTTATGTCTGGAGGAAAATAAATTTAATCTCCAAACACAGAAAGTTTTCTTCACAGTGAGAGCTGTGAAAATGTGGAATAGACTCCCTCAAGAGTTGGTTCTGGCCAGCTCAGTGGATTGCTTTAAAAAAAGGACTGGATTCTTTCTTGGATACACAGAATATAATTCTGGAATCTTTTTAACATTTATAGGTAAAGTTAATCCAGGGAATATCCAATTACTTCTTGGGGGATCAGGAAGGAATTTGTTCCCCTGCAGGAGCAGGAACAAATTAAATCATTGATTTTTTGCCTTCCTCTGGATTAACTGTGGGTGTAGGATTATAACTTTTTTTTTAATGGTTTAACTGGGTGGACTTTTGTCTTTTTTCAGCCAGACTAACTATATAATTAAAGTGTATATCTAGCCTTTTATTAATTGTTTTAAAGATTAGAACTAGAGATGAGCGAATTATTCAAAAATTCGATTCGACTGATTCGGCAAATTCGTGAAAAAATTTTGATTCGAGTCGAATATATTCGCTGCGAATTTAACTTATAAAAGGGTGTTTCTAGGCTTCAGAGAGACTTTATATTAGTGCAGAACACTGTACCTTTAATTTAAATGCCCTTGGAGTCTGCTGGGGAAGAGAAATAATACTGTCAGTCAGTATGACATGCAGATGAGTGCCGTCGATCTTAGAATCACCGCACACTTCACTCATTTGGGCAGTCACGGGGCCAAAACCAGAGTGTGGATCCACAGTGTGGCGGTGGAGGCAGCAGCAATGGGAGGCCATACAGCACCCTATGACAAAATGGAACCCACCAGCAGTGTGAGGAGACCTGAAAGTGGCACATGGCAGAGTGTGGAGATGGAGACAGCAGCAATGGGAGGCCATACAGGGACCAATGACACACTCTGGACCTGGCAGCAGCATGAGGAGGCGGTACAGGGGCCCATGACAGATTACGGGCCTGGCAGCAGCATGAGGAGGCAGTACAGGGGCCCATGGCAGATTAGGGGCCTGGCAGCAGCTATGGGAGGCCCCGTAATCTGCCAGCACCCTATGACAAAAAATGGAACCCACCAGCAGTGTGAGGAGACCTGAAAGTGGCACATGGCAGAGTGTGGCGATGGAGACAGCAGCAATGGGAGGCCATACAGGGACCAATGACACACTCTGGACCTGGCAGCAGCATGAGGAGTGGTACGGGGGCCCATGGCAGATTACGGGCCTGGCAGCAGCAATGGGAGGCCGTACAGGGACCCATGACACATTCTGGACCTGGCAGCAGCATGAGGAGGCGGTACAGGGGCCCATGACAGATTACGGGCCTGGCAGCAGCATGAGGAGTCGGTACGGGGGCCCATGACACACTCTGGACCTGGCAGCAGCATGAGGAGGCGGTACGGGGCGCATGACAGATTACGAGCCTGGCAGCAGCAACTTGGACAGGAGGACGTTCAGCTTCTGCACCGTCGGGTGCGTGCTCGCAAACTGTTGTCTCTTGGAAACGGATTCCAAGAAAGACTGCTGACGGAATCAGGGAAGAGGAGTAGCAGGAGAAGGAGCATCTGAACGAGCGGAATATGCCAACAAGCGACAACAGGGGCCCATGACAGATTACGGGCCTGGCAGCAGCATGAGGAGTCGGTACGGGGGCCCATGGCAGATTACGGGCCTGGCAGCAGCAATGGGAGGCCCGTAATCTGCCAGCACCCTATGACAAAAAATGGAACACACCAGCAGTGTGAGGAGACCTGAAAGTGGCACATGGCAGAGTGTGGCGATGGAGACAGCAGCAATGGGAGGCGGTACAGGGACCCATGAGACACTGTGGACCTGGCAGCAGCATGAGGAGGCGGTACAGGGGCCCATGGCAGATTAAGGCCTGGCAGCAGCAATGGGAGGCCCATAATCTGCCAGCACCCTATGACAAAATGGAACCCTGGGCTGGGGTAAGCAGAACCGCCGTATCTTTATCACGGTTTTCCCAGGCCACCGAATGGCGACGCTGCATATGCTGACACAACGCTGTAGTCCCAACATGGGCCCCCTGGCCACGCTTGACTTTCTGGCCACATAGTCGACATACGGCTACGTTTACTTCCTCGGGCGGCTTGATGAAAAATTGCCACACCGCCGAGTAGGAAACTTTGCCCCCGCTACTCCTCACTGGCTGACTGCTACTTCCTCCGTGCACACACCGGCACCACTACTGCCCGTGGTGGTAGGCTGCAGTGGAGCTGGTGCTCTACTCCGTGGCCGTTTGCCTCCACTGACACTGCTGCGACCCTGCTGCCTCCTGGCAGCAGCAATGGGAGGCCGTACAGGACCCATGAGACACTGTGGACCTGGCAGCAGCATGAGGAGGCGGTACAGGGGCCCATGGCAGATTAGGGGCCTGGCAGCAGCTATGGGAGGCCCGTAATCTGCCAGCACCCTATGACAAAAAAAATGGAGCACACCAGCAGTGTGAGGAGAGCTGAAAGTGGCACATGGCATGAGACACTGTGGACCTGGCAGCAGCATGAGGAGGCGTTACAGGGGCCCATGGCAGATTAGGGGCCTGGCAGCAGCTATGGGAGGCCCGTAATCTGCCAGCACCCTATGACAAAAAATGGAACACACCAGCAGTGTGAGGAGACGCTGAAAGTGGCACAAAATGGCATGAGACACTGTGGACCTGGCAGCAGCATGAGGAGGCGGTACAGGGGGCCCATGGCAGATTAGGGGCCTGGCAGCAGCAATGGGAGGCCCGTAATCTGCCAGCACCCTATGACAAAAAATGGAACACACCAGCAGTGTGTGAGGAGACCTGAAAGTGGCACATGGCAGAGTGTGGCGATGGAGACAGCAGCAATGGGAGGCCGTACAGGACCATGAGACACTGTGGACCTGGCAGCAGCATGAGGAGGCGGGGGTACAGGGGCCCATGGCAGATTAGGGGCCTGGCAGCAGCTATGGGAGGCCCAGTAATCTGCCAGCACCCTATGACAAAAAATGGAAACACAACCAGCAGTGTGAGGAGACCTGAAAGTGGCACATGGCATGAGACACTGTGGACCTGGCAGCAGCATGAGGAGGCGGTACAGGGGCCCTCATGGCAGATTAGGGGCCTGCAGCAGCTATGGGAGGCCCGTAATCTGCCAGCACCCTATGACAAAAAATGGAACACACCAACCAGCAGTGTGAGGAGACCTGAAAGTGGCACATGGCAGAGTGTGGCGATGGAGACAGCAGCAATGGGAGGCCGTTATAGGGACCCATGAGACACTGTGGACCTGGCAGCAGCATGAGGAGGCGGTACAGGGGCCCATGGCAGATTAGGGGCTTGGCAGCAGCTATGGGAGGCCGTAATTGCCAGCACCCTATGATAAAAATGGACACACAGCAGTGAAAAAAAATGTGGAGACCTGAAAGTGGCACATGGCATGAGACCACTGTGGACCCTGGCAGCAGCATGAGGAGGCGGTACAGGGGCCCATGGCAGATTAGGGGCCTGGCAGCAGCTATGGGAGGCCCGTAATCTGCCAGCACCCTATGACAAAAAATGGAACACACCAGCAGTGTGAGGAGACCTGAAAGTGGCACATGTTTGGGGCATATGATTCATGGCGGATTTAGTCAGTTGTGTCAGGAACTAGGTGATTTGAAATCCTGACTAATCCACGCCTTGATTCATATCGCCAGACTGATTCATTTTCCACAACGTGAGTCTCTCCACACTTTGGTGTGGACATTGTCGTGTCCTCCGCGGAGTTACAATACCTCCTGCCGCACTAAACACGCGCTCGATGCACTAGCTACTGGCCGGCATGACAGCCTTTCAAGGGCAAATTCAGCTAGTTGGGGAAAGGTCAAGTTTCGTTGCCAGTAGTCAAGGGGATTGTCTACCTCGGTTGGCAGGTGCTGTCCCAAGTAGGCCAAGCCTGTTGTTTGAGGGTCCTGCTCCAGGTCCACTGCGGCTGGTTAGTGCTGCTGCGGCTGCACCTGATGCTGCGGCTGGTTAGTAGTTTCCTCACTGCGCTGGTGAAGAAATGCTACTCATCATCGACTGCAGACTGAGGCAGCTGCTGCTGGTGGAGCTGCCACTGCTCCTACCACCCCACCCCTCCCTGCTGCCATGGCAGCGGAACGCGAGCGCACAGGGCCCACAGTGTCTGAGGTGGACGTTGGCGCAAAAAGGCAGAGACCAACTGACTACATAGGTGGTTTTTATAGTACGTTATTTTGGCCTCCCTCTCAGCAGGTGTGAAAAAGGCCACCATTTTTGAACAGTAGCGAGGGTCCAACAAGGTGGACAGCCAAACGTCATCCCTCTGTCTGATGGTTATTATTCGGCTGTCGCTACGCAAGCAACCGAGCATGCTATGGGCCATTTGTGCCAAGGAATGCGAGGGACTCCCTGCCTCCATCTCACAGCATACTGCCACGGTGCGTCTGGGTCCTCTGTCTCCTCCTCCTCCTCCTCTACCACATGCTCCTGCTCCTCCACTCCTGTCCGCTGAGTGGAAAAACCACCCATTTCACTCAATAATTCCTGAGCACAAATGTCCTCCTCTACCTCCTCCTCTTCTTCCTGTCCTGCCCCCACAGGGGTCATGTGGCGTTGAGATCTGTGCGCCACGTCTACCGCACCCTGACCAGCCATTGTTAACAGCATTTGTTCCAGGACGTGCAACAGAGGAATGACGTCGTTCATCCCCATAGTCCTGCCGACTCACGAATAGCGTGGCCTCCTCAAAGGGCCTGAGCAAGCGGCAGGTGTCACGCATGAGCTGCCAATGGCTGACATCGAAGTTACACAGGGGAGTACCTTTATCCGCTTGTAACATCAGGAAATCGGTGATGGCCTTTCGCTGTTCGTAAAGGCGGTCTAACATGTGTAGGGTTGAATTCCACCTTGTTGCAACGTCGCAGATCAGGCGATGCTGTGGAATTCCGTTCTGCCGCTGCAGCTCAAGGAGGGTGTGCTTTGCGGTGTAGGAATGGCTGAAATGCATGCAAAGTTTACGTGACATTTTAAGGATGTCTTGCAGTGGGATGGTGGATTTTAGGAACCGCTTGACAACCAGATTGAACACAGTGAGCCATGCATGGCGCATGGCACAACCTTCCTTGACGCAGAGCAGACACCATGTTCTTTCCGTTGTCGGTCAACATGGTTCCGATTTTCAGTTTGGCGGAGACAGCCATCTGTCGATTTCTCTGTTCATTACACTGAGAAGTTCCTCCCCTGTGTGACTACGTTCGCCAAGGCATTCTAGGTGCAGCACAGCGTGACACCGTTGCGCCCTGCCACATGTGTGATATGCCGTCGGGGTAATGGGACTCTTGGCACGGGGATGGCGGCTGAGGACACAGCGGAAGAAGAGGTGGTAGAGGCGGACATTTCTTTTGTGGACCAAGGACGTGCAAACGTGGGAGGCAAAAGCCTGGGGGAGCGGCGTGACCTGTCCAAGTTGCTGGTGCGGCTGTGACGGCACCACGTTCACCCAGTGGGCTGTAAATGACATGTACTGTCCCTGACCGTAGTTACAGCTCCACACGTCGGCGCTGCCGTGCACTTTTGCAGAGACCGACATGCTCAAAGACTGGCCCACCATCTCTTCTACATGTGAATGCAGGGCTGGCACTGCCCTTTTTGGCGAAGAAATGACGGCTTGGCACTCTCCACCACGGCGCGGCACAAGCCATCATTTCTCGGAAAGGTGCTGAGTCCGCCACTTGGAAAGGGAGGGACTGCAGCAACCAGCAACTTGGACAGGCTGGAGGACGTTCAGCTTTGCACCGTCGGGTGCGTGCTCGCAAACTGTTGTCTCTTGGAAACGGATTCCAAGAAAGACTGCTGACGGAATCCGTGAAGAGGAGTAGCAGGAGAAGGAGCATTATAACTGAACGAGCGGAAGATGCCAACGAGCGGACAACTCCCCTCAGCAGAGGTGTTGGAGCCTTGACTGGCTGATAGAGGGCGATTGACGTCGGGTGACGGAGCAAGTAACTGAGTGGGTGATGGAGCGGGGGCTGGGGCAGGCAGAACCGCCGATATCTTTATCACGGTTTTCCCAGGCCACCAAATGGCGACGCTGCATATGCTGCCGCAACGCTGTAGTCCCAACATGGGCCCCTGGCCACGCTTGACTTTCTGGCCACATAGTCGACATACGGCTACGTTTACTTCCTCGGGCGGATTGACAAAAAATTGCCACACCGCCGAGTAGGAACTTTGCCCCGATACTCCTCACTGGCTGACTGCTACTTCCTCCGTGCACACCGGCACCACTACTGGCCGTGGTGGTAGGCTGCAGTGGAGCTGGTGCTCTACTCCGTGGCCGTTTGCCTCCACTATTCGCTGCCAAGCTCCCACCCTCTTCTCCTGATGATGCGGAAGCAATAGCCTGATGACGACGAGGCTGCCAAGTGCGATCAGCCTCATCATCATCAATTAGGGTCTCCGCCTCACTACTAGCCCCCTCGGCTGCGTGTGGGTCAGGAGACAGACCTGTCTCTAGACCGGCTACCGAGCCACTCTCCTCCCCAATACTTCTTCGCCTGGCTGCTGAAGAGGCGGATGTCTCCCCCCGTTCCTGACCGCCCTCTGTTAGCTCTTCCTCACTGTACAGTGGGGCTGAGCCCACAGCATGCGATACTTCGCTTGGTGAGGGAACACCAAAGGACAGGGGCAGGTCGAGGACACGTGATTTCAGTGGGCTTGCTCCCGGGCCATGCCAACTAACGGTTGTGTGTGACATACCCACCGACCGTTGGCTGTAGGTGTCAGAGGTGACCTGGGAAGAGGAAGACGACTGAGCCAACCAATCGATGACGGCAGGGTTGTCGGTGGAGACACGACCGCTGGATGACACCGGGAGCAATGGCCTCTTGCTGCGACTAGTGCTGCCTCGTCCCCTTCCTCTGCTGCCACGTCTGCTCGCTCCTAAAACATTGCCTCCTCTGCCACTCCTCTGCATGTTGTCTGACATACTCTTTAATTCAACGATTCTGTGTCCCTGAGTAACAATTCTGTGTCTGTCCCTGAGTAACAATTCTGTGTCCCTCAGTAACAATTCTGTGTCCCTGAGTAACAATTCTGTGTCCCTCAGTAACAATTCTGTGTCCCTCAGTAACAATTCTGTGTCCCTCAGTAACAAGTCTGTGTCCCTCAGTAACAAGTCTGTGTCCCTCAGTAACAAGTCTGTGTCCCTCAGTAACAAGTCTGTGTCCCTCAGTAACAATTCTGTGTCCCTCAGTAACAATTCTGTGTCTGTCCCTGAGTAACAATTCTGTGTCCCTGAGTAACAATTCTGTGTCCCTGAGTAACAATTCTGTTCCCTCAGTAACAATTCTGTGTCCCTCAGTAACAATTCTGTGTCCCTGAGTAACAATTCTGTGTCCCTCAGTAACAATTCTGTGTCTGTCCCTCAGTAACAATTCTGTGTCCCTGAGTAACAATTCTGTGTCCCTGTCGGTTCTGTGTCCCTGAGTAACGGTTCTGTGTCTGTCCCTGAGTAACAATTCTGTGTCTGTCCCTGAGTAACAATTCTGTGTCTGTCCCTGAGTAACAATTCTGTGTCTGTCCCTGAGTAACAATTCTGTGTCTGTCCCTGAGTAACAATTCTGTGTCTGTCCCTGAGTAACAATTCTGTGTCTGTCCCTGAGTAACAATTCTGTGTCTGTCCCTGAGTAACAATTCTGTGTCTGTCCCTGAGTAACAATTCTGTGTCTGTCCCTCAGTAACAATTCTGTGTCTGTCCCTCAGTAACAATTCTGTGTCTGTCCCTCAGTAACAATTCTGTGTCTGTCCCTCAGTAACAATTCTGTGTCCCTCAGTAACAATTCTGTGTCCCTCAGTAACAATTCTGTGTCCCTCAGTAACAATTCTGTGTCCCTCCGTAACAATTCTGTGTCCCTCAGTAACAATTCTGTGGCCCTAAGTAACGATTCTGTGGCCCTAAGTAACGATTCTGTGGCCCTCAGTAACGATTCTGTGGCCCTCAGTAACAATTCTGCGGCCCTCAGTAACAATTCTGTGTCCCTCAGTAACAATTCTGTGTCCCTCAGTAACAATTCTGTGTCTGTCCCTAAGTAACGTTTCTGTGGCCCTAACTAACGTTTCTGTGGCCCTAAGTAATGATTCTGTGGCCCTAAGTAACGTTTCTGTGGCCCTAAGTAACGTTTCTGTGGCCCTAACTCTCTCCCTCAATACAGCCAGGTCTGCCTCTGTTGAATGACTGGAGGCAAATGGAGAATTCTAAAATGGCCGCCATTTATAGCTCGACCATTACACAGTGCTGGC